GTGGACCATAACTGACGGTATAATAATAACCTCACACATCTCACACTCGGCCGTTTGTCCCAAACTAGGCATGTGGTAGAATATATTAAATGATCGTGCTCATCACACAATTATTTGTCCTGGTTGGGCATCGAACCCACAACCTTTGGCTTAGCAGTCAAGACCAACCACTAGACCAACAGGCCCGTAAGGATGTTACGATCAATTATGTTTCGCTTATTAAAATAACATACATATACATAATATGGATTCATTGGCTTTTCTTTTTTAAATAAATAGATTCAACGTAACAAGTTTGAAATCTATAAATAATAAAGCGGGTGTAGGTAGGTAGCTATATTGTTTTTACCAGCAATGACAAGCAAATCTTGATGAATGTCACCTACATTGTTTTGTAATGCGACAATTATTAGTTAGAGTTGCAATTAATACTGCAGTAGGTCCCTCATTTGAATAGCAAGAGTCGTTTATCAATAGGCTACTATAATTATACCTTCTGTTTCTATTGACTATAATTTAACAAAGGTAATTGACTAACATTTATCTCAGGTTTCTTCTGAATGTATGTGTATTATTAAGGGATTTAACATTGAGCAGGGGCTGATTAACTTCTCTAGGTTCAAACTATCAACTTCTTTCTGAAGGTTCAAACTATCTCCGTATCAAATTTCATATGAATCTGTTTAGCGCTTATTAATTATCCATACAAACGTCCACCCCCTGATTACCACCTTAAAGAATGATTACGAGAATAAAAACATCGTGAAAGTATAATCTGGTTTCTGGGCAAGAAACTTTTTGTTGGCCTGTGTTATAGAACCAAATGATGGTAATGATCTTTTAAAATAGTCAAAAAGCCGCGTACTAGTTTTGGCATTTGATTTATCAAACATTGTAACATGTGTTCTAAAATTTTAAGTGTAATACGTAAATTTAAGTCTTGTTACAATAAAGAAATATTATTATGCAATTAACACACTTCCGTGTGGTGACGGATTGAAGAAACTATGCATGACCACAGCACTGTAAATAGAAGGAAAAAGTGGACACAAGCCTAATACCAATCTGTGTGGCCAGTGTGGTAGGTCCCACTCGTAGTAGGTCAAAACCTCCTTTAAGGAGAGGCCTATGTCCAGCAGTGGACTGGTAAAGTCTGATGATGTGATGATGTGAATTAACATACAGACAAATAGGTCGTCATATTCTGTATATTTTAAGAAGGCAAGACTTAATAAGCAATTATTTCCTTACGCGTGCAAAAATGAACACGTCATAGTTTGATAAATAAAAAAAACATTATAAATGAGTCATGTAGAACTCAACCTTAATACGTTAAGAACCAAACATATAATTTGGCTGAGACCAAAATGGATCTACAAATGAACATGCTCAGTTTTTGTCAACTAATTAAAAACCTAGTGATTTACGAGTAAAACGGTTTTCCAATTGTCGTTTCAAATTCTTAATTTTTCTATGAAGCCTTATCACAAAATACATACCTGCCTGTCTATGCTTTATACATACACAATATATATAGGTAAATGGGCGAGCTTGTTGGTCTAGTGGTTGGTCAAGGTCACTAACCCCTGCTAAGCCCCGGAGTTCGTGGGTTAAATTCCCACCCAGGACCAATAATTGTGATGAGCATGATAATTTGTTCTGAATAGATAGAAGATACATAGAAGAAATTATATGTTTATATATATGTATGTATGTAGTATGTTTATCAGCAGTCTGGTTGCCATAGCACAGGTTCTGCCTAGTTTGGAATCAGACGGCCGTGTGTGGTATGAGTATCAAAAGGGGTGAATCCTAATTCTCTATACACAGTGACTTAAGAGCCTTAAAAGCCCTGAAACGATTAGGTAGCATATAGTTTCTAAGTACACTAACATCGATTTGCCTTTCTAAACCATTGCATTCCAAGCCTGAAAAAGAGGTGCTCAGTGCTCAATCTGTTATAACGTTACGATTTTATATTACCTAACAAAACCTTGTACTTTGCTCATATTGTTTTTTGCATTAATTAAAAATTGCGTGTAATTGAACATGTTGGTGTTATTATATCGTGTAAGTATATTTTTTTTGCACTAAAAGAGACGAATGTCCAGATCTGCAGTAGGTAGTAGGTTTTTTAGAAGCAATTATATTCTCGCAGGTAGAGTTTACATCCACATCCATAATGAATATTGCCCTATCTCTGAAAAATTATCAAAAGATATCGTTTCCAACGAATGCGATACCCCTCCAGGTAGCATGTGTCCGCTGGAGACTATGTCTGCTTCTAGGAGTGCTCTGGCTGTCAGTAGGATCATATGTTGCCAGGGTTGGTGTGTGCGTGTACATTTGGGATAATATCAGTTCTTGTTACCTTCGCAAAACACACTTTAAAAGTCCACCTGCGGTATTACAGGAACGATATGACCTTTTAGAAAAGAGAGACCTTTTACTCCCGCCTGAAAGGCCTACAACACCTTTGGGACTTTTGAGCTTCAGGTATCCATGATGCAACGGTAGTAACTTGCCATCAAGTGACCTGTATACCCCCTTTTTATATTGCAGTAGTCTACTCGAGCGCAGTAAAGCGTTACAACGTTTACTCACTGAAACTTTGCTCGGTATTTTTTTTTGTAAATTTTCTAAAAATGAAACCTTGATAGATCGATTATATATATATATTTATATATATATATGTACACATATATCATGAACTGCTCGTTTACAGGTATTTAATACCATCTATATCTCATTTAGGGTTTTGCATTTAAAATCTCTTGAGAGTCTTAAAAAGAATAACAATGTATTTGTACATAAAAGGACAACAAATAATGTGCAAAATTAAATATTACATAATCTCAGAATCTAAATCCGTTCTCCTTGTACTATACTTATATCATAGTATAACAATATCTCTTTAATGTGCCTCGCCTAGCTTTCTAGACAAAAGAAAAAAGATATAGGCAATAGAATAGAGTCTTATACATTTTCTTTCCATGAAATGTTAACTAGTGACGCACGTATACGGGTCATAATGCGTCATTTGACTACGTATAGTGCCATCTACCGTGAGAATAACAAAATCTGTTTGAATAATGATTACACATATTGATTATTAACTTAAACCACAGCATTCTTAACTATACCAAAAAAATTAAACAACAGCACATTTAGAATATCTTATTATTTGTAACAAAAAACGTGATTGTGAACATGGCCTCTCTAGAGTAATAAACAAATTGTGAAAAAGATGAGTTATGGCAAAACTAATCAAATAAATAACAATATTACAAGTTAACAATAATCACTACATTACTACATCAACTACATATTACATATTTACACTATGTACTCTAAATGTACATGTATTAGCTTAGCAGGTACTTTTAATTAGTTTGTGTAGAAAAGTATTAAACTTCTGTTGGAAAAATTGTCTAAAGGCGGATGCCACCTAAGACGCTAAGTCGAATAATGCATTCTTTTTCGATATGTAGTTTATTAACGTTTCCATTTTCGATGTTAGTTGGAGATGCGATACATTAAATATGAAATTCGATTCGATTACATGAGTTGCAAATCGTCGCCATGTACACCATAAACTGTAATTCAGTCGACGGGAAACCAATAAGGTATAAATATCATCGCTGAAAAGCTCGATTTAGACTAAGCCGAAGATTAAGTTTATATCACATTTCAAACAATACATCTTGAAAATAACAATTATGTAACAAAATTCCTCATAGGGCCGAGTGCCTAATTTTTTTTTAAATTGTAAGTTTAAACCTGCACAGTTTGGAGAACTTTTCAATATGAGATTACTCAAAATTTGTATTGAATCAAAGTTTTTATCACGCTCTTCAGAACAATTCTCCTCACAAAACGAGATTGACAAGAAAACCTAACATACACACACATTTTCCTAAACATACTAATATTTAATACTGAATTAATGTCATATAACTTTTTTTTGGAAAATAAATTATTATTTTCAATAAATTCTAAATTTTATAAAATTACTAGCTGACCCCAGAAACATTGTATTGCAAAACAAAAAAAAAATTAGGGATGGGTCACCCTTACCATTTAGGGGTATGAAAAATAGATATTGGCCGATTCTCAGACCTACCCGATGTGCACACAAAATTTCATGAGAATCGGTCAAGCCGTTTCGGAGGAGTACGGAAACGAACATTGTGACACGAGAATTTTATATATAAGATTCAATTCGCTATATAAATAATAATTGTGAACTAGGCTAAATTAATGAATACAAAACACCCGCTTAATTGTGCACACTGCCTCTGAGGAATGTTGTTACACTTCCCTGAATTAATTTTTATTCAAAAATTAAAACTGACTTGGTAATTTTATATTTCAGTAAAAAATATCTTATTTTTCTACATAGTGTTTCTTATTGTCAAAGACCTTGTAATATAAATTGCGCTTCAAAGTATTTCGTGTATTATCAATGAAGTTAAACGTTTTATTATTTTAGAGTATATCCTACTAACGAACTACAGGTTAGTAGTAGTTAGTAGTAGTTTGTCACAAACACTAGACCTAAGATTTTGTATAGAAAAAGACACAAGATGTGTTAATAGCACACATATATTCTGATAAAATATCATACCCTAACCGAGTTTTAATATCATTTTACTTTCTTCTGTTAAGTCTTTGTTTGTGCTTTTTGTTAAATCACTCGATTTTTACAATTTAAACCATAACACAATAGAATTGTGTTTGTTGTAAAAAAGAACACTTAAATAACAACTCACAACTTACTCACATTCGTAATCAGTGATATGTTACAGAAAATTTATATTTAAATCTAAATATAATCAATTAGGTTCTTTAATCTTTGGAACTTAATGTTGTAAGGCTAATTTCACGACCATCAGGTAAAATTACACAACCATCTGAGCAACCTTACATGACAGAAGTGAAAGACGCTAAAGCTTAACATAACTGGTAACTTAAAAGGTACATCAATTTATTTATCACTGTCATCGTCTATTGTTTAACCAGTCCTGTTTTATAAGGTCGGAACCTTTCTCACCGATCATGATAACTGCTGCATTCGTATTACCACTGACTATAGTAGGCATAATACTAGCATCTATCACTCTTAGTCCCTCAATACCGTGGACCCTTAACCTGGGGTCCACAACCGCTTCAGAGTCCCACGATGGACCCATTTTAGCCGTACCAGACTGATGATATATTGTCATTGAAATAGTTCTCACTTGACACTCTATATATTCGTCAGACATAAATTTAAATTGTTTACAGTTAGGCAAAGGCTTCATGTAGAGTCTAGAACCAAACTGTTTAAATGGGGAAGCGTTGGCCACTTTAACAGCTATCTTGATTCCTTCCACAAGACGAGCTACGTCTAAAGCGTTTTCGTGATACCGCGGATTCATGATTGGGTAGTGGAATGGATTAGAACTTCTTAATCTAACATATCCTCGTGTATTTGGACGGAGTAAAAGAGGCATAATTGTCCATGCGTCCTTATTTGCTATCGGCTTGTAAACGGTATCGTATACCTCATCAGTCAGACCTAGAATTTTTCTTACAATTTGTCCATTATCGGAAGAAAATGACGCTGGTGCCATATGAAATTGAATATCGGGCCATAATCCAGAACTGTTTGCGTACTTTGTATTAACAAAAGCGATACCTTCAAGACCACCAAGTGTCGTCATTGGACCCCTCTCATTTACTACATAGTTCATAGTGACTGGGAAAGCCTGGAACCGGTTTTGCACTATTGAAACTGGCTTATCAACCAAGAATGTTAGTCCTCCGACACCAACGTGGTCTTGTAAGTTTTCTCCGACTGGTAAATCTTTCAAAACCTTAATTCCTACATCCCTCAAATGATTTTTTGGTCCTATACCCGATAACATTAACAGCTGTGGGCTATTTATAGCTCCTGCTGATAAAATTACCTCTTTTCTGGCTAACACAATGCGTTTTTCTCCATGTTTTACGAATTCTACTCCATACGCCTTCATAGTCACTGGATGGATAAGCACTCTCGTTGCTTGCGAATTCAAGGATATGTCTAAATTCTTTCTTGTTCTAACAGGTCTTAGAAAGGCCTTTGCTGTGCTGCACCTTGAGCCTCTTCTTAATGTCCCTTGAGCAATCATGAATCCCGTTTGTGTAGCTCCGTTAATATCTCTGTTTTCATATCCAATTTCGACTCCTGATTCCACAAATGCTGCTACAAGGGGTGTTCTCCAAGGGGCTTCTTGAACAGTGAGGAAGCCACCAGTTCCATGATATTTGCTCTTAGCTAGGTAAGGGTTTCTGTTATCTTCAGATTTAATGAAGTACTTCAAAACTTCTTCATAGCCCCAGCCGGGATTACCCATCGACTCCCACTGGTCGTAGTCATATTTGTTGCCTCTCACATAGATCATATAGTTTAGCACGCTAGAGCCGCCGAGTACCTGCAATTTTAAAGTGTTATTTTTAATAATTGAAAAGTATGATCTGCAAATGAAAATATAAGTAAGTATCGGTTCGGTTTGGTGCAGTCATTTACGAATATTATGTCAAATATGTCTCAGTTTTATTTCCTAATTGAGTTTAAAGCCCGTTGAGCTCAGGAGAGTCAAAAATGCTTTAAATGAACGTCCGTACTCAAAGCCACAAAAGAAAAAAACTGTCCATATAATGAGTCCATATATCTGAGTCTATTACTCTTTACAGACGGTAGAGTCAATAGAGGATTGAAATCTTGTTTCTTTTTCACATAAATTTTAATGTCAAAAAGTAGCACTTGACTTTAAATGTGAAATTTATTCAAAAAAAGTTATTTAAACTATAGAAAAATGCAGTGGATCTTGCTTAAGTGTTAATTGTTAACAAATACCGAGGCTAAGAGTGTTGCTCTAATACTTGTACAGGCACTATAAAAACTTTGCCACTGTAGAATCTTAATCATGTTACAATGTTATCGCACTTAGTTTGGCCAAGATTCAAAAGATGCAGATGTACTTTACTAAGGTTTCAGGAGATGATTATGGTTGAAGAAGCCACTTGAACAGGGAAATCAAGTGTGATTTCCCTGTCCTAGTGGCTACTTCAATCATGAGAGAGATATATGCGACCCCTGCTTCTTCGACCTCCTGCAGTCACAGTCGAGTTTTTCCACCCGAATCTTGCTCCCTGACCTTGCTAGTTTTCCTTATCCCAATTGACATTCTTCCTTTGTCCACGCGGTCGTGGATCAATAGACCGACTAAGTGAAGGGGCAACGTCCCCAATTTTCAAAAGCCGTAAGAAACGCGCTGGACAGGAACTGGTGGCGACTGGTCACCAGTCCCAGATGCAACCCTGTTATTCACCACGATCCTCACACATGAGGGACCGACCCGAGAGAGTATGTCTGAAAATAATTATAATCCGAAGGACAACTGGTGGCAGGCAGGCAGGTCTTTAAAAGAAGCTACCTAAAACTATTTGTAATGTTACAAATTGCGCCCACTTCAAATAAAAGTCGCAAACGGACAGGAAGACGATGATGATAATATTATTTTACAGTAAGGATCTACAGATGGAGACATCTGAAAGTAACTGTGTTCGTCACTACGTTTGAGTTGGATTACTGCCACCCTTGTTATTATTTTAAAATATGCCTCTATCACCAGAACATGTCAACATCACTCACATGAACAATTTTGTTATGTGAGTAAATGTTGCATTGGCCTGTTGTTGTTGTTCGAACGGTGAGCAGAGCGGATCTGATCAGTGTAGTATTCTTTGGCTCGACGACGTAGTGGTTTGTGTAACGGACTGCTACGCCAAAGGTTGAAGGTTCGATTCCCCATCAAGTAAAACATTTGTGGGCATGAAAATTTAATGTTTGATTTGGTTTGGATGTTTCTATGTTTAATATTTATGTATTTACAAAAAAGTACTACCCATAGTACAAGCTATATTTGTAAAACTGCTGTTCTTCTTTTTAAATAGTCCAAATTCTGAAACTTAGTAATGGAAATTGCCTATACCTTTCCTCTCGGCCAACTGCACCTGTGCTGTTTGAAACCCAGGCATGCGTAGGACGTCGGCTCGGTCTTATATTGCCAGTCCAACTTCGTTAGCTGCAAATAGCCCGCCAGTGAGGGCACGTCCGTGATCTCATTCTCATCAGGACCTGGAACATTAATATAGATATTTTATGTCTGAGAACTAACTTAAAGGTATGTTTATTTCATCATTATCATCATCGTGTCAGCCAAAACACGTCCACTGCTGGACATAGGCCGCCCCAAAGTTCGCCACAAGTTCGCTATTTAGAATAATTTGTTACTGACGTATTTCATTTTAGCTTTTATAAAATCAAAGTATCTATTATAAAAAATAAGTAGGTTACAAATACGAGTATGTATAACCACGTAATGCTTTTATTACGATCATTGATTACACACTTCCACCGAGCAAAGTAATTTTCATATTCATGTCATATAATATTTAATAGATCTTAATGTGAGCGTGATTACGACTTAATCAATACGTGGCTGTCACTCACCACTTTCTAGTAAAAGTACATTCCAACTCTTGATCTCGCTAAGTCGATTGGCTACAACAGCTCCGGCTGAACCTCCACCGACTACGATGAAGTCATACTCCTTCTTGGGCTCCCTATCTAATATCTTCGCTTCGGGATCATATGACTTGTAATTGTTGTACGTTAGAGCTCCAAGTAGTAAAGGGATCAACCAAAGACCTGTCACACTAACTGTTTTTAGTGCAGTCGAGGCTAAAAGAACGTGGACACCCATCTTCAGGATCGTTTATATCACAGTTCAAACTTGCTAGGATCACAGCATTTGAACTCAACGCTTTGGCTTTTTTAAAAGGACTAGTTCGTTTATCATTAGAATGTGTATTTGTGTTTGTCTGGTGGCTTGCTGCGGCGCATTCGCGGAGTGTCGAGGTGGCGCGGTAATACCATGTTAGGCTGAATCACTTACAAGCCTAGTGATTGAAGGATTTTGCAGCTCGGGTATCTGAAAAACAAAGAAATATCCTGCTTAGTAAACGTATGAAAGTCAAGATAGGATAGAGATTATTTGAGGTAATCTTTAGATACACAGATTTTTTTAAACAAATATTTTTTGATACGTATCTTAATTTCTATGTACTTTCAAATTACTTTGTTATATCTTCGTTCTACAAATTAATAAAATAATTGGCGACGACTTGAAAATTAAAACTATTTATGTACACTGCCCAATTTATGCTTTGACGACCGGATGGCGTAGTGGTTCGTGTAACGGACTGCTATTCCAAAGGTCGCGGGTTTAATTCCCGCTTAAGTCAAACATTTGTGTGCATGAACATTTAATGTTTGATTTGGTCTGGGATTTTTTATGTATAATATGTATGTATTTACAAAAAAAAGTATATATGTATTTATATCAGTTGTAGTACATAGTACAAACTCTGCTTAGTTTGGGACTAGATGGCGTTGCGTGAATGGAGTAGAATATTATTATTATTAATATGACAACAACTACTTAGTTATAAGACTTCTTGTCATAATTCACAGCTTCTTGGCATAATTTAGGCATAATACTTGATATATCTGCTATGATACGGCTAATGGTACGAGTACAGATGTTTGCAACACATAACTGCAGCAATTGCGAAAATATGTGTTGATTGGCAGACGCATGTAACATGGATCGGTTTTTATCATCTACACATAAATCTGATTTTAATTTATTTATCAGTTATTTTCATTTTTTCAGGTACGTTCTATCATCATATTAAATTAACAGCAGATGGCTGTGGACTGCTCAAGACCGGAATAGGTGGTGCTCCTTGGGGGAGGATAGGCTGATGATGATATTTTGATTTTTACAGGTACGTTCCATCATATTGTCACATTAACAAGATTTAAGATTAATATCACTGCATTTTCCACGTTTTTTTGCAACATATTTCATTGATGCTGGGCTCATATTGGTCGTAACATTAGGTTATAAAGCCTGCCTCGATAAATTGATTATCCAACATTAAAATAATTTTGCAATTCGAACCAGTAGCCCCTAAGAATCAAACTCTTCAGCTTTATAATATTCGTATAGATAACAATTAAATTACTTCGTTTATCACTAATGTCATCAAGTATCACCATCTATACACACAATCTTGCAACTCTGTTGTTGTTAAAAATGCGCGGCAGTCAGATCATGATAAACTTTGAACTTTCGAGAATAATAGTTCAATGTGTGTAGTTTCGTGGCAGTGACAGTTGCTCTTTTAAGAATTCTTCGTCTGGTCAATACTTAGACATAAAGAATGCTTGATATCGCTACTGAGCATTTCATTCATTCATAACATTCAAGGTTTAAATTCAGCTTCTAATGTTTGACTTTAAGTAACAAGTTAAATAAAAGACTTTCAAAACCTTGTCCGTGAATAAAAGACGAAATCAATTATAAACAATAACTGACATCTCAGGAGATAGGAGGTCACATACAAGCTTCCTTATAGAATAGGTATTAATAATTTACATAATAACTAATTTCCTAGTTTTGATATCGTTAACAGTCAGTTAAAGTACATGGGTTAGAGGTTAAATGCTATTTAAATAAAATGAAGAAGCAACTATTATAAATAATTCTATGACAACTTAGATAACTTTACACTTACTTAGTGATTTGTTCATTCGTTAAATTGAAATATAAAATTAACATAAAAAATCTAACCGATTTACCACACACTAAATTACTATCCAAGTTGTTGTCTACTTATCTATAGCTATAAACTTAAAGATGATAATTCAGTACCAAGCGAATCAATGATAAAATAACACGTCTGAGGATAATTAAATCGCAGCCCGCCATTTTGACTAGCCCACAAATTCAACCCTTTTGAAATAAAAAAAAAATAGTTGTCGGTTTCTGTATAAAAAACATATTCATGTTACATTGTAGAATGTCAATGGTTAAGCTATATTATTTCAATTTACGTAAGTAAATATCAGCATGATGTAACACGAACTTATAATCTAACAACAAGGGAAAGCTTAAACATTTAATCTTATACACACGATGACATTTTACGCTCGTAGACAATCAAAATAAACGAGACAATATCAATGAAGGAACGAGACAAAGTAGACAATATTATTGTGGAAGGAGTGAGATAGAGTAACGGGATCTATTTATTAATAGTCCGGAAGATTACGATCTAATTTCTAAACGCTACTTGTTCCTGAGGCTCTAAGGCGTGAAAGGCTTTAACAATTTACATTTTACTCAAATTACTTATTTTTTGACGTAACGTTTTCTTAAGATAGGTACACATTGAATAAGGTGAAGCACCTATTTATTGCGTGGGATAATATTGGCATGTTGAGATAGACGGCCTATGCTTCTGCTACGAGAAACACTATGCGGTCCAAGGCTGTCAATAGCTTCTGAATAGTGACAAATATGCGGAAAAACAGGAGTTTATGTACGAGTATGCGCTCCTAAGCTTTTTGCTTCACCGTCGTACTTTATTTAATGAATATAATTATATGTATTTGCTTAACGCGCAGCTGTGTGTTTATTTTTGAAACCTTCTCTATTATCTTTTATCTATGGTATAGGGAGCAGACGGGTCACTTAATGATAAATGACCACCACCGTCCATGGACACCTGCAACTCAACAGACACAAGTGCGTTGTAGGCCTTTGAGATGAAAGTAACTCTTTTCTTGAAGGTCATATCGTTCCGGAAATTTCACACGCAACAATTTGTTCGTATTTCTCCGGTGGGCCTCCAGTAACCTCACACGAAAAGCAACATCGGTTTTCTGTAAGGCCGTATTATGACTCCAGTCGAGACTTGGCAGACAGACGTCTTATACACTAATTCATAAATATTGAATGTGTGCAATTCATTGACTGCCTCGGTGTTGCAGTGGTAGCATATGCGACTGCTGTGCTGAGGTCTCGGGTTCGATTGCCGAGTCGTACCAAATGTTTATTATCTGCAAATATTTGTTTAGGAGCTTGGGTGTTTTTTATGTATTATATGTATGCATTTACAAAAAAAAAGTATTCTATCAGTCAATCTAGCTTTCATAGTACAAGCTCTGCTTAGTTTAAAACTAGATGGCGTTGTGTGTCAGATGTCCGAAAAATATTATTATTATTAATTATGCATCCCTTCGTTATTACTTTGCTTTTAAGAGCACAATCCACTTAATCACGTCTATAAAGTTACGTCAATACCTCATGGATGATTTCTGAGTGGTTTACACATAATGCTGCTATATATACAAGTCATTTCCTGTACTACGTTGTGGGTAATGATGCTGAGAATACGGTGCTTTTCAACTTTTCTTGGTGTATTAATTTCTCAAGGCATTATTGAAACGGCGGATACAATAAGTAAACATTTTTCTGAAATAAATGAAGTTTTTTATCGTGTGTCATCGCGATATCATCAAGTATAGGTCATCATGTATCAAGGTATACTCACATTTTTTAAGCTCAAGTTATAGAAATAGTTACTAGAGTAGGAGTTATCAAATTTGACGCTGTATCAATGATTTATTTGTCCCGTTAGTATTATGTAGATTTAAACTGTCTAAGTCTGAGGCTCTCTTTAAAACTTAAACTGATGTTTAACCGATGTCCAATATTTACTTCTGCGTTGTATTTGCAACGCAGCAAAAACCTAACCAACATAATATAATTTATCGAGTTTTGAGCTTTCAGCAACACACAATCTGTATAATTTTCTAAAACAAAGGAGTTTGTAGATGCATATCTGAATACTCAAAAATTACAATTAGTATATTTTTTTTTGTAATTAGTATGCAGTCAGGAGTTATTATCCATATTTCTCCTTCGCCGGCAATCTTTTACAATCCCCGATTCCCTCGTGTGTAAAACTAAAAACAATTAACAAATAAATCGGGTAAGAAATATTGAGAACCACTGATTGCTCCATCAATTACTCTTCGCGAACGTTTCGAATTATCCTAATTATTGGGCAGTGCTCTCGACCATTGACCTTTAAAGCCTCTACGAATGAAAGGCGGATAATATTTTACATTTTTATATTCAATACACACATAATAATATAATCATGTCAATATGTGTAATTCTTAGCGTATTGTGTCATATATCATAGAGATATCGCAATACTTGATTTAAATATAAGGTGGTATCGGTAAAGAGTACATGCAATAAACTTTCATCAGTTTCCCTTTAGGATTTTAGGTACAAAATAAAATGACTCTGAAGCCGCGTTTTTACAAGCTGCGTAACTAATTATGTTTAACTACAGATAATAATTGCGACTTATTTTATAGAAAAAACAAAAGCTAAAATTAATTGTAACGGTTTTACTTTTAAAAATATTTTTTCACCACTGCGTGCACAGTTCGTCTAACAGGTATGGAGTAAATACCTTCTTTAGGCACTGATGTTGCGATAAGATTGATGTGAAAAGCACTATTTACCAGCAGGTGGTCCGTACGTTTTTCGTGATTTTCTTGTGAAGAAAGTACACACTCAGTTTATTTTATTTCCTCTATTGCGATTGCGTCAGATGGTACTATTTATTATTTTATCATTTTAAAATTTTAATAACTTGTTCATCGTTACGGATCGTAAAATATTGAGATATTTAGGGTATATGTTATAGACGAAATTATTAATATGACATTATTAAAGTTGCATAGACAGTTAGATAAATATTTAGCATAAGAGGACAAAATAATAAAACTATTAAAATCAGCCAATTTGCCGTTCTGTAGGAAAAATGTGCCTTC